GGGAGCAAGTTGCATGCCCACATGTGCATCAAATGCACATACAGCCACAGCTCACACCACGGCCTAGCCTACAGCAACAGCAGGGCTCCCCGAGGACCAATTTAGTGGCAGAGGGCGTCAACGAGGCAGCAGCGAAACGCAGACGGCTGTTTGTGCGCAGGACCTCCAGGAGCCACACAGAGAGCAGCGGATCAGAAGCCCCCAGAGAGTGGAGCATCAGCTTCAGCAAGGAGCCACACATACAATCTGTTAAGGTAACAGGATAAGAAATATATACAGTGGTGGCCAAAATGATTAGAACACTATTATTTTCACCAGCCTAAAATGGTTTTAAGTCAGTTATTTCTATCTTTTGCTGTAGTGTGTCAGTGGGAAATATCAGTTTACATTTCCAAACATTCATTTTGCCATTAATTGTAATAATCCAGTGAGATTTTTGTTTGCACAAGGAGTCTGACAACAGCCAGTGCTCCACACAGACATCTGATCTCATCATCATCCAGTTGTAATATTGTATTAATGTAGAATACAGAATTAGAACATACATGCATTTTGACTAGTAGTTTGATTTTGACCTTATGTATAGATATAAGGATGAATACTTTGTCATAAAATAAACCTTGTTTGGCTTCTCAGTCAGATCATTTAGGTGGAGTGCATAAAAGAGAGGGCTCTGTAGTGCAGGAACTGACGGGCTTTCACCTCATGCCACCTGAGACCCACAATGCACCACGCCGCACATCTGTCCATAGCACTACCCATGTGACTGAACGCCCCAAAGTGACCTGGAGCCAATCAGACTTAACACCGCTGGATCTTCAGGTGACACCTCCAAATGTAATGTTTTGAGTGAAAACATTGTCACCTCAAGAATCTGTATTTTTCTACAGTGTATTTTTGCTGGGGTCAAATTGACTTAAGCTAGAATAATTTTTTTTATATTGGATGGCAATATAGTTTTCTAAAAAGTGCTTAGGTTTTGATGAGGTTTGCATAACATGTTTTATAAATCTGTGTTAAAGGAACAGTTCACCTGATCAAGAGCCTGATAAAAACAACATAATAATCCACAAGTAATCCACATGACTTTTAGTAAACAAATCAGTCAAGATGTTTTTAAATTCAAAATACGAGTCCTCTATCTATAATGCCACTTATTCCAATGAAAAATGTTCTCATCTGAATCAGGAGAGAAATATGCACAGATCAAGCACCAATTACAAGGGTAAACAGTTCTAAACAAATATGTCAGTGGATTTTGATGTAAGAGGACAACAGGTTATGGACTTTTTCACTGGAGGAAGTGTTATCAATTGGCCAGAAGCAACTGTTCACTTTATAATTTGTTAACTGATGGACTTTAGTCGTGTGGATTATTGTGATGTTTTTATCAGCTGTTTGGACTCTCATTCTGACGGCACCCATTCACTGCAGAGCATCCATTGATGAGCAAGTGATGTAATGCTAAATTTCTCCAAATCTGATCAGATGAAGAAACAAACTCTACTTAATCTTGGACTGCCTGAGGGTGTACATTTTCAGCAAATTTTAATGTTTGGGTGAACTATTTCTTTAATCTGGGATAATACTGGTTATTTTCAAATTTATCATTATTGTTTTTACATAAACATTATTGGGTTCTTTGGGAACCGAATCATTAAATCAATCTTAACAGAACAGGAAAGAAAACAGATGATGAAACTGTGCAAAGCGTATATTAATGCAGATAAACCGGCACTTACAGTACTCAACTATTTTCTATGTACATTTTGCAGGCCCCTGAGTCTTTGGAGTTCTGGACGGATGAGATTTACACGCCAGCCTCCGACACGCTCCTGCGGCGTTCGCAGTCGTACACCCGTTGTAGCAGGAACCAGGCGTACCGCATCGCTGCCCTCAGCATCACTGCCACCATCATCCTCATCCTCATCATCGTCATTCCAGTCAGCACTGTGTAACGTCCATACAGTCACATGACACGCCTGAGGCTACATTGAATGGTACAATACGTGTTTATTAGATAATATTATTAAGATTTTAATGAATGCATGAATTCTTCATGAACCTAATTCGAGAAGCATGGCAGACTGTCCCAGTGTAAAACCTATGCAAAATAGACTGCATTTCCTGAAACCTTCAGTGGGCCTTTTTGGAGTTTCCCTACCTTTAGTTTTGTTTGAATTTAGCAGGTTTTCAGTTAAACGCTTATTCTGCAGTTTATGGCTTGCGGACATTCCGGTATGCCCTCTTTGTTGACGGATATTGGGGAGTTCCCATTAGTCTAATGTGATTCTGCTGAAACCTGAGACGGCATCCACTTGCTCGCACAGCGGCACATGTTTTGCACACTCTTGCGCACCTCTGCTCTCTCTCCATTTAAATGCTCGGAAAATCCATTATTAGTTGCAAATTTACATGCAACTGCCCTTTAAATCTGCTAAATGTCCCCGTATTTGGAGGAAATGCTGACGTGTGATAGATATGAATCTCTTGTTTTCGTTTGAATTTGTGGGGAACTCGATCACTACCAAAATAGTGCTACAAAACATAATATCCTGCCTCACAAAAGCTTAAAAGAAAAGGAAAACGAGCCTCCAGAGATCCAGAATGGATGCATGATGATGGTGGATCAATACCGGCACACATTTTCAATTTGCTGAACAACAGCACTAAACTTTTAATGGGCTGTGATGGAACTGAGTGAGTGAGGGAGGGGAGAGACCGAGAGGAAGGAGCGTTTGTCCTCTTTTATTGAGCCTGAAGCTTTCTGAGTCCTACTTCTGTCTGCTTCAGCTGATTAATGAGTGATTTGCTCAGGTAAAAGGGTTGCCAATTGGGATTTTTACATGCAGTTTGATCTCTGATCGCTATTGTAATTCATCTTGCGCTACACACTACAGAATGAATGATACCTCAATCAATTACTTTTCTAAATGATCAGATTTGCAATCACAGGCCAGTAAGCGATCACCTACAAAAACAAGCAAAGTGCTGACAGCCGCTCAGACCAACTTAGCAAATGCATAGTAAGCTTTGACAATGCTTTCAACAGCTGAATACTGTAATGTGATGACAATTGAATGAGATGTCCTATTTTAAGGAGGCTATGTGGGAAAAGTTTTGACTTTTGACATGATTTTGATTGATATTTTTGTGTTCCTCTTGTAGAATTAGCCTATGCATTTCTCCTCAGAATCATTCTTGTTTTTCATTCCATGATTGTATAAACACATGCATTTCTGGATTTGGGATTTTTCCTTTTTCAGGGCACCTCTGACTGTGAAAATGTACCTTTGTCTCTTCATAAAGCTGGTTTTGGTTATTCGATGGGATTGTGTCTTGTGTGTCATTTTTTCAGCCAGTTAAACTGTGGTTGGAGTGAGAGGTTTTCTTTAATAATATGTGACCCTGCTTGTGTAAACCCAGCTAAAGACATTTTTTGTGATTTACTGTTTTCTACATAAAATCATCCTTCACATGATGATGTAGGACATTCTGTGAAAATATAACCTTTATATCGTTCATATTGGCTGATAAGGCCATGTCAAAGATTGAAATCATAGTGAAATTAATGGTTGAAACCAAACTTTGATGCTTGTTATCTCATAATTAAATTTGGAGACTTTAGCCTTGATTTCACAGACAGGGTCACATATCATCAATGCTTTTGCACACTGCTGCTTGCTGCTTTTCCCAATGCAGTTTTAATATTTCAGAGCACAGCTCTCATAAACGTGTATTATCTATTTATGATCTGTCAGTTCTGTTATTGACGTGAAAGCACTTTACTGCACTTACACACAGTCTCTCAAGCTCAAATGAGGCTTCCTTCTAATGTAGTTTATCTAAAACCTCCACTGCCTTTTTCTCTCTGCATATACATACAGTATTGTGAAAGTGATTTGGTTTCATATTTGATAATGCTGCAAAATTCATTATAGAGATCGCACACAAATTGATTCCAGTGAAACTTTGAAGAGTGAGCTAATTTAATTAGAAAAGCCAGTTTCATATAAAAGATATTAATATGAAGAGACTTATTGAATGATGATTGTTAGATCATTTCTCATAATTAATTTTTTGCTCATTTGTGTGTGTTTGACTGATGTGTTCATTTAATCAATGAATTTCTATAAATTCAGCCTATTATGTATAAATTTTCAATTTGTTTTTATTGGAAGATACTTACCTCAATGCCATATTCCTTGGGAACAACAGTGAACATTGAGATTAAGCCAGTCAACTCTTAGAAACCTTAATAAATTACAATTAGCAAATTAATCTGAAGGTAAATTAGTTGATGTATTACTGCAGGACGCCAGTATTGTATTTTTAAATGGTGATTAAATGTTACATAAAAAAGGGAGGTATTACTAAAATATGTGTTTAAAATAATATTTAAATATTAAAATTTAAATATACTGCATTTAAATTTTAATTACAACAAATTAAATTAAAAGGGGGTAAATCAACTTAATATATAGCCTAATTAAATGTTAATTTTAAAATTCATTTAGAGTTTTAAGGCATTCTTTTTTTCAGTTGCTTTAAATTTGAAGCTAATTTTAAAATCATTTTTAAATGCACAAAACTTTTTTTTTTTTTTAAATCGCGACTGTAAAAAAAATCAAACTGGCGGCAAAAGGACGAACATGTTACCTTGGAAACGTAACACACGCAAGCGCAGTAGCTCACATTTGTTGTTACGCATCCATGGTAACAGTTCTTGCCTGCAGGCTGCAGTAGGCGCGTTTAGTTTCCTTTTGCGTTATAAATTACATTTTCCCAATTATCTGTCTGGCTGGCTTTACGGCGGCTGTGAAATGGCTCATGTCCGGACCTATAACCCGCACGTCCGTGTGGGCAACTGGAAAGAAGACGTGACTTTAGAAGAGGTTTGTTGTTTTGACGCATCTCATGTTTGTTGGTGTGAAGTCCAGACAGAGAACGCAAGAGAACAAGTGAGTAATGAGCAGTGTCTCTGCAGGAAACTCTCAAGAACTTCATCCTGCAAAAAGACAGAGGCGAACTCACTGTTCAGAAAGAAGGAGATCTGAGACAAAACATCCTGAAACCAGTAAGTAAAGATTTATTTAAACATATCTTAAAAATGTAATATTAAATATTAAAATATACTTTGCCCTCCATATATTTCAATCCAAGAAAAAACATTCACATGTCACATTTTAAGAAAACCTATTTGTTGTCTATAGCACGTGAACATAAAACACATCAACAAGTAGACAAGTAGTAAAATAGGGGGAAAAAGGAATAAAAATCAGCAAGGAACATTAAAAAAATTAAAACATTTATTTTATTAAATCACTGTAAATTTAGTTTTGTATTCTATTCTATTCACAGATGTATTTTCTTGACCCTGAAATACATTTTGAAATATATTTTTGTATATGAATGTTGAAACTGAATATATACTGTAGCATTTAATTAATTAATTATTTAGTTTTTGCCAGAAATATATATTTTTGGTCGTATGGGATTTGAAAATTGGTGGTGAAATTGGTTGATTAATTTTTTTCCCCCAATAATCTTTGTTTTATTTACAACTTATGTAGTGCAGCGGTGCTCAAAAATGTTTTTGTGTCTGCTGCATGTGAGACTGATTCTGTTTTTTGTTTAGGTGAGTCTATCAGTGTCGCAGGATGGCTTTTTGCACTTTGGAGACACAGTCATGCTGGTGAACTCTGGAGGTGGAGAGCACGAGCAGCGTGGCTCCTGTGTCCTCAGCATCATTGCCGACAGCAGTAGTATCACATCACAGTCTGACTCAAATTCAGTCCCCCACCTTCGTGGGCCCCTCCAAGTAGGCGGAGCCCACAGCATGACCCCTTGTGTTAGAAACGCCTTTATCATTACAAGGTATCGCACATGCACGTTCAAACTCACTCAATCGCACACACACAGTGGCTGATCTGTTTTATCATCTGTGGTCTGTGATTCAGTGTTGATAGGACCTCAGATGGAGAGGTGCTCAGATACGATCAAAGCTTTGCCCTGAGAACGACCGCAGGCTTTGCCGGAGAGGTAAACAAGCAAATGGCATGTACACAGTTTTATGTAATTACTGAGTTCCCAAGTCTCAGCATGCAGTCTGTTGGATTCCTCATAGCTATTCCTCGCCAGTGATCACAAAACATTTCTGAAGTGTGCTAAGAAGTCTCGACTACAGGAGTTGAGCCTAGTAGAGGAGTTTGATTTCCTGTGCTGGTGGAAGGTGATTTACTTTGACCCCCAAGAAAGGCTTGAAAATGAAGGATACCCTGTTCAGGTTCACACTTTCAACTAAATCTTTTTCAGATGTACTTGTTGTTATTACTTAGTAACTTAATCATGTGGAGTGGATGCTTTGTTTTGGCAGGTGAACAGCAAGGTTTTGATTTCCCACTGCAAGACCAATCAATGTCTGGCTGCTCTAGGCAATCACATCCTATGGTAATATATTTCATATTTTAAGAGTAAGTGATTCATTTAAAGTGAGCTGGGAACAGCTAAATATTACAAATACTCCAAAACCAGTTTATCAGTTCCTAATGAATAAAATACACTCCCATTCTACATTTTCTTGTTGAATATCATGTTTCACTCAGACATATGTCATTGCTTTATATATAAATTATATATGTATGTATATATATATATATATATATGGAAATTTTTATTATAATATAATTTTTCTGTGTATAATATTTACACATACACATAGATGTAATATGTCGATATTTTTTTATTTAGAATTTTAGGTATTTTTATTTTAAATATAATTTTAGAACTTTATTTTACATTTATTAATATATATTTATATTTTTTAAATTTGATATATTATTTAAAATATATTTTTTTTATATATAGAAAAATACCTGCTTGAGCTAAAGAACAGGTCTGTGTAGTTTAATGTTAATTCTGTGTAGAATAATTGCTAGTGTTTATTCATTTATTTGGTTTGTTTGTTTTGTGTGTTTAGGACTCCTTTTGGTAAAGAGTATGAACTCTCTGCTCACACCTTCTTGGACTCT